TCCACTGCAGTATGTGATACATGTAAAGATTAACCTGGAGCTAATAATGAATAACATCTCTACTGTAGCGGATGATTTGTAAAGTTTGCAGCTAATATCACACATTTAGTTACCTTAATACATAACTCATGAAAAAGGTAATGCTGTGTTTTTATATTTATGGAAAGATAATGCTTTGTTTTATACATCTATGGAAAAGCAGTGCTCTATTTTTTATACATATGGAAAGATAATGATCTATTTTTTTGTACCTTTGGAAGAGCAGTTATCTTTTTGTTACATTTGTGGAAAGGTAGGGCTCTAATTTTTATAGCTGGGAATAGGTAGCCCTTTGTTTATTAGAACTTTTGAAATATAAAGCTCTGTTATTTGGTCTTTGGAAAAACAGTGATTTGCTTTTTCATATCTTTGGAAAGGCAGTGCTCTATTTGAATCTTTGAAAAGATACTGCTCTATTTTTTAAAGCTATGGAAAGGCAGTATTCTATTCTTTCAGTTATCTAGAAAAACTATAGAAATAAAAACAAATGTAACATCACAAGAAACCAATTCACAGCTAGCTTAACATTAATCCTACTTATTTTAAAAATCATAGAAAACAGCCTATAATATTAACAAAAATAAATCATTTGTTTTTTTCTTATTAACATCTTGACATTGAAACAAGAATGGATTATTCTTTTTAGATAATGAATAACTAATATTACAGTATTAAAGTTGCTTTGCCATCAAAACAATAACTTTTTCCAATCTACAAGTTTCTAAATTTGAAGTTAAATTCTTAAAAAATTTACTTACATTGTATAAACACACCACCAAGATGTAAAACCTGAAGTTCCGGGAGATTCTACAGGAAGAATAAACAATTGTAAATATTTAACACAGACAAATATTTTGGGCAAAGCATTCTTCAGGAAAAGTAAACAATTGTAAAAATGTTTAGTGGAAAAAAAGAATTTTGGCAGATTAGGTTTATGTTTTTATATGGTAATGAATAAAAAAACTGTTATACCTGGATAAGAAACAAAACAGAAATTTGCCTATGTTCATTCTCTCTATTTCATTCTAATCAGTTATACAATATGCAGCAGAAACAAGAAAAAAACATTCTTTACAAATAAAAAAAGTGTTATTTTGATCTAAGTCAGTTTGAATTCAAACACACTTCCACATCCAAGTTATAAATTGACACTAAAAACAAATTCTAATGAAAAACAAAGTTTTAGTATTAAAGGAACAGCATTTTCACCTTGTGTACACAAATCAAAACATTCCTCCAAGTTTATATTATTCTAACACACTTAAGTATTGATTTATCATTCACTTGATATTCCATATTCTACTTATAATGAATCTATTACAATGATATAGGAAGAAAGTAAAGAAGACTATTCAGGCTTAATAGAGAATATATGAATGTAGAACTCAGAAACAAGAAAAATTCTTAATACAATCAAAACAATCTCTAGTACTTAATCTTATCTTACATAATATTTTAACTGTGTGGTCAATGACTTGATACTCTCTTGGTGTTAATCTTTTCTTACATTGTAACTGACTGGTCACTGAACTGCTACTCTCTTGATGTTAATCTTACTTTAAATCATAATTGCCTGGTCAGTGACTTGACACTCTCACATTATAACTGCATGATCAGTGACCTGATATCCTCTTGATGTTAATTGTACCTTAAATTATAACTGCCTAGTCAGTAACTTGATACTCACTTGGTGTTAATCTTACCTTACATTATAACTGTCTGGTCAATAGCTTGGTACTCTCTCTCTGTTAATCTTACCTTACATTATAACTGCCTGGTCAATGGCTTGGTGCTCTCTCTCTGTTAATCTTACCTTACATTATAACTCCCTGGACACTGGCTTGGTACTCTCTCTTTCTGTTAATCTTACCTTACATTATAACTGCCTGGTCAATGGCTTAGTACTCTATTGCTGTTGATCTTACCTTACATTATAACTGTCTGGACACTGGCTTGATACTCTCTCTCTATTAATCTTACCTTACATTATAACTGTCTGGACACTGACTTGATACTCTCTCTATTAATCTTACCTTACATTATAACTGTCTGGACACTGGCTTGATACTCTCTCTCTATTAATCTTACCTTACATTATAACTGTCTGGACACTGGCTTGATACTCTCTCTCTCTATTAATCTTACCTTACATTATAACTGTCTAGACACTGACTTGATACTCTCTTTCTGTCAACTCTTTCCATATAGGTACCCTTTTCTGCATGTCACAAGGTGTTGCGACTTACATTCAAAATTTAATTAAACTACTTTACAATTGTGGTATATGAATAAATTTGGCATTAAAACAAAGCTAATAAATCAAATTTTAATAGTATATAAGTTTCAAGTTCTTTCTTTTATAAGACAATATTAAAAAAAATTCTAGAATTTCCCCTACTGTAAGAATTGTGACATTTTCTCTTTAGGCATCCCTTCTTCTCTAATTCATTTACCACCCCTCCAAGTGCAAAATTTAACATAAATTACATATTATAATATCATCATTACTCAGGAAAGGCATAATTTTTATAGTCTTCAATCTTATTTGGTTAAAGAGCCATGAAGTAGACAACCAGACCCCTCTTGCCATGCCCACTCGTCACATCCTCTCTTTCAGAAATTGCCAACAGTTCTCTCTGCTGTTCAATACTATATTATTTATACCCAACAGAAAGCCAAGGTTTTCATCTATCAAACTGTTTTCTGTAAATATAACTGTCAATTTCTTTTTTAGTTCAAGCTTGATTCCCACAAGAAATACATTGATGAACTTGGATTAAATTTTAACTGCTCTTGTCACATAGTTAGAAAGTCAGAAACTTTATGATAGTTATGGAACATTGTCTGCTTTTTGCACATTATCATTCTGTGTTCTTTTGTGCATTATGTAATTAAATGAGAAATTATTTAATACAGAACAACCATTAGTATAAAAAAGTAGGGTTAAGTGTCATCGATAGTAAAATAAAAAGAAGATCCAGGCTAGTACTTTTTCATGTTTTCATGCATATTCTTTATTTATTGTTATAAAAGCAACTAAAATGTAAAAATAGGAAACTTTTATGTTAGTGAATGTTAGATTAGATGAAATAAATAATAATAATATAATAAAACTTTTTCATGCAATATGCTCACGAGCAGTTTAACTGTAATGTAATTCCACAGAAAAACGTGAGCTGCACATTTGCCAATTGATTTACAACGTATAATGGTGTGAATAGTAATTAGATAGGGTTCAAAGGCCAATAAAACAACAAAATTTAAGTATAAATAGATGTATACTGTGATGAATGTAAAACTCTCTAGGATAAACAAATGCAAACAATTTGAAGTCATTCTAGAAAGAAAAGTTTAGGGTACAGAAAATAACAGATAAAATATAAAGATTTACTGTAAAAAAAGTTTTAAATATATTTAGAAGGTTTTAAAGATTAGGCAAATAAAATTTGAGATTTTTGATATGAAGAAAAGTATTTTTAAACTTAACATGAAAATCACCAAGATTTTGTCTACAAAAGACTTACAAATGTTTACTGAAAGCTTGCAAAATTTCATGAAGACAAAAAAACATATTAGAAGTTATAATATGGAAACTTTAAAGGTCAATTTGGTTTGGTTGAATAAACTGAGCCCATAGGGAGTGATTTAATCATACCTTACATTATAACAGCCTGATCACCAACATGACACTCTCTTGATGACTTGATACTCTCTCTTGGTTAATCTTACCTTACATAATGTTACCACTGCCTGGTCAGTGAATTGATACTTTCTTGCTGCTGATCTTACCTTACGTAATGTTACAACTGCCTAGTCAGTGACTTGATACTCTCTTGGTGTTAATCTTACCTTACATAATGTTACAACTGCCTGGTCAGTAATTTGAGAGCAGTCGTTGAGGTATAAAGCCCTTAACTGGGGACATTTGATGGCAATCTTTCCAACTCCTGCAGGACTTAACTGAAAGTATTCAAACCAGGGAATCAGTTATTACACTCTAACACATAGAAACCGATAAAAAAACAAAAAACTATCTGAATATGTCAAAAACACAGATGGATAGCAAAAAAACAAAAAGGGAAATATTCATATGGTAGCAAACTAAAACTTGACAAATAGATGAATAAATACAAATATACAAAAGAAACACATAATAACAGAAAGAAAACATATACATAAAATATAAACAAATCAAAAATGCAAAATATGAGTAATAAACAAAACTCAAGTGGGTAAACAGACGAAGGAACTGAGCAAGGCAAACAGCTAAACACAGATATACAAACAAACAATCAGAAACAGCTAGATTTCAAAACCAGGAACACTTGCTCTTTCTAATACTTCAGCTTCTATAGCTACAGAACAAAACCTCACCTGTGAACAAGCATTTAGTACAACCCTCCTGAGGTGCGGGCCAGCAATATGGAAACACTGAAATGCAGAGAAAATCTAAATTTGTATAAATAAACCATAAATATAAAAGCCAATGAATAGGTCTCTTGTGAGCTCATGTAGAAAACAGCATTTTATATCAAAACACATTAAATTTAAAGTATTTCTATAAACCATCAAAAATTCTCTGTTTTAATTACTTCACAAGCTTAAAAATGGGAGAAAATATAATTACTATAACTAACTTCATAAATGTTTTTTTAGGTATAATTTGCACAATGATAATAACAATATACATTTTTTATTAACATTCAAGGATACTGTAAAATTGTAGCTATTCATAATACTATTTTACAGTTCACTTAATAACAGATTACATTGTATTAAAACATCTTTACCTCATGTCTTGTTAGAGAATAATACTTCTGTAGCTTTCAAACAGACATAATGTAACTCAAGATACTATCAGGAATGAAAACGAGCATCATCAGAAACTATCGGTAGGAAAAAATAATCCAAAGCCTCTAAGTAATTGGGAAATATTCCAAAACTTTGTTTTGAGGTTGCTTTGTTACTTTCACCAATTTCAAAGGTGCCTAATTGGCATACAGCACTATTGAAATTGCCATTACATAGCACTAAGTCATAGCATCTGATGATTATTGGAATTAGACTCTGCTCGCTTTGCAAAGCTAAAACCAAAGTTTTCATGGAACCTCTAGTCGGTGCAGTAAAAGTGGGTTGAACAAATAAATTCACAGTTGTTAAAACAAAAAAAAAGGGTCAATTTAACTGAAAATGTTTAAATTTATTGAGAAATAAAAATTAACTTAAAAATTACAAAAACTTTGAAAACCTAGGAGTATAATGATTATGACTCATACACTTAGGGATACAATGGAAATAAAAGTTTGAATGTTGGAATTCTTACTTATGGAATAAACTACACATGTATTATATAATGCTAAGGTATTAATTCTGAAATATATTTGATTACAAAAATTATTGAAACATAATTCTGATTTTTTTAATTGAACTTTTGATAGTTGATTTGAGTCGGTGTATTTGGAATGGCATGAAGATTCACTGGCCACGAAATGGTTAACAAATGAATAGTGTAATGTTTTAAACCATAAAGGCATTCATCTAATCAATTACAAAACACTGTATTATATTTGTGGCACTCTAAATAATTGAAGAACACAATATTAGACACATGACCCACCTGGCCTGTTATTTTCATGTTTCTTGAAAGATCCACATATTCCAGGTCTTTACAGAGGTTAAAGAGCCACCATACGCTGAGAAGGGCAACAATATAAAAAATATATTAGAAAAAAAAAAATTAAATGTAAAACACTTTGTCAAGTAAAAAAAAACATTTCTAACTGAACCAGAAAATTTGGTTGAAAATTTCTTCTTCCTGTGGTTAAATACAGTGAATTCAATTAATTTATTTTTATAAGATAATGTATGCATTACATTTTTCAAGGTTTATAGTCTTAGAAGTTTCAGTGGATTATTTTTATGTTTTAGCTAGCAGATGTTCGTAAAACTGACTTGTTAAAAAATAAATCTTAAAAGACTTCCAGACATTAAAATACGAGAGCAAATACACTTCCTATAGAGGCTGAGTACATTATTATTACATCATTACATCACATCCAGTCATACTGATAACCATGCATCTATACAATAGCTCTGGAGTGTAGTTTCCATTGCAAAAGGTTGCATCCTTAGGCTATAATGTATAAAAAATACCACTCAGCCCTGCTACTTTTTATATTCCATTTTGTGTATGAGGACAACAGTTCCTGGTATCCATTTCAATAAGTCTGGTCACAGAAATCCATACATGCTACATCTGAGAACTTGATCAGTTTGTCTTTGCACTGAGCAGCATGAATACCCATTTCCTTCTCCAGTTGCTTGAGATATGCAATGGTTGAAAAGTTATGTTATGGAAGCAATTTATGTACATGCAACTTATGTCAGTTTTTCCAGATGGAGATCCTTCTTGATTATATTTCATATTGTTGTCTGGGGCATGTAGACAGGTTTTGCTACTGACCTTTATGTTTGTGGAATTTCATCTATTACAAGATGCTGTACTTTGTTTACAATGACTTTGGTATGAATCATTGCAGATCTCTTACTGGATGGTACTGGAACCCTAAACTGATTCATATTCTTTTGTTTTCCAACAAAATTATAAATAAAGGAATATCCCTGTATTTGCAATTCTAAGTCCCTGATATGAATACATCTTTATAATTTGAGTGTTACAGACCCTTCCTCAAAGGACCTTATTTTTGGTGGCATTGCATTATCTACAAACAATGCCAACATGTAGTTCTGATACATGCCATTCCACCACAACTTTATATTGACTGTGGTTTTCATTTGATGATTTCCATATTTAAAAGTTTTATAGTATAATGTACTCAACCCTCTGTATTTGATTGTTATAAACTCACAAAAGTTCTCAACCAGGCTTTTCAAGTCTGATATGTGAAAAATACCATATCAAATGAAACATGCAAGCAACAGTTAAAAAAGAATACTGACCATACACAAGATGTACTTAAAAAGAAGACTGACCATGCTAAAATTGTAATTAATACAAATAACACTAACATACAAATAATAATTAGAAAATACTGGCTATGAACAAACATTAGTTAAAAAGATCACTGATCATGCATAAAGTAGCAGCAATCAGTAGCCGTAACAATTAACTGTAATGAACGAAAAACTTATTTCACTTTAATACAAAGCATAAGGCAAGATATCTGTAAAAAATCATCTGTAATTTGTCGTAAGAGAATCTATTTTGCCATAAATATTAATATTAAAATATTTTATACAATTATATAACTGTGAACAGTTTGCTTTTAATTTAAAATATTATTGTAAAATAGTTTAAGAACCATGATAAGCTGGTCTTTTTTCAGTGAATTAAAACAAAAACATTCTCATATATGTCTGGATAGATATCAATATATCTGAATTATCTTTTAAAATATTTAAACTGATTTGAACAGAGCAAAATTTACCCCTTTTCTCCAATGTTCAAGCATCTTTGTAGCACCACCATCTAAAAAACAAAAAATAAAAAAATTACTAACTTACTGAACCAATCTTTTTTATATTTTATTTACAGGATTTTCTTTAAGTTTTTGAACAATAACAAATAACTTAAAATTTACTTTTTTAAAATGACTACAATCTTTAGTAATAAAAATTAAAAAAGAGGAATATTCCTCAGGATAAAAACTTGCAAATCTATTCAACTTTTCATACGATAGAAAACCTAACACTTAAAGAGTAAAGCCATATGCCATCAATATTACCACAAAAGAGTAGTCTGTTCATGGTCAGCAACATGGTATATTTGTAAACAGGGGAGAAAAATACTTATTTCACATCTCAGCTTTCAAAAACTCTTCATTCCACCCCCCATAAACAAGTCCTCTTCCCACAGTCATTTGAAGCACAATTTTACTTTGTGTTTGTGATCTAATATTTAATTTATAATACTAACATGTCAACAACTTCAAAGTTTTACTTTGGTTTATAATAGTTCTGATATTCTAAATGGCAACTTAACCACTTCAAAGGTTTACTTTAAGAAAGAAACACTTATGAAAGAGACAACAGCATCATCTATGTTAGATCTACAAACCATAAAATCCATTCTCAAAATAACTACTAATCACTGTTACCTTGAGATTACGACATTTCTGAGACATCTGTTGTAAGGACACATTGGTAAGGTCAATACCTGATAGATTTATTGATTCCAAATTTGGAGAGAACTGGCCTATATCAAGATAAAAACAAGTATTTAATAATCATGGTACTTACCATCACTGTGAGGATATTTTATCAAAGATAAGCAATAAACTCACATTTAACACAGTCTGATTGAGTTGTTGCCTCAGTGTACTGTTGTTTTTATATACATATACATGAGATATAAAGACAAAAATGTTCTCCTCAACATTATATGACACAAACCTCCTACCTACTTATGACGACTAGGTACAATAGATATTTAAAAAAACAGTGGAGTCTTCTGAATGTTACTAAAGCCATCAAAATTTCTAAATTTAAATTGGTACCTGTATAATTTAAGTAAATACAATAAGATCAGTTATTTTTATTAACTTTAAATGATAAACAGTGAACAACTTTTAAACATTTTACATATAAAAATTACAAAATATCAGTTACTTTCTTTTAACATTTATGATATAATACACACTTTTGAATTTATAGTAATGATTCATTATTGAACATGTTTTAATATTTAAACCTTATAAGTCATTCTGATGTTACCACTAGACTTCTTAATATGAAGTTAAAATGTAAGTAAAATCACATGCAATGCCTACACATGAAACTAAACAAAAATGTGCAGTCAATACTGAACACTACAAGTTAAAGCAATACTTATGTAACAATGTCAATTTGAAATCATGTAAAGAACAAAAAGTGGAAAGAAGAATAAATACATATTAGAAATCAAATACCAGTTAAAAGCATTTCAGTTACAAAAAATTTATGTGGAATTATACATACTCTTGAAAAAGGTGACCAAAGGTCACTAAAGTGTTGAGTGTACAAGCACAGTAAATATGGTGTTGGTGATTTCCAAATGTGTACAACAATTAAAAAATATAAATTGAAAAGTTTCCAGGTTGATTAATGCTATAAAACTTGAGATCAAGCAGAAATTACTAAAGGAATCAATTACTGGTTAGGTATTAAAACAATATTTGTCAACTTCTCTTCTTCATGAACAGGATTATGGGAAATAATGGGTGAAAAGTTCAAGTGAAATTTTATTTTACTGACAAGGTATTAAGGACAATTGTCTTTCTGCTTTAGAAAATGACAAAAACAAACAAACAAACTAATCATATCATTGATGATATGTTAAAACTTTGGCTTTCTATTGGTTATAAATAATGTAGTATAAAATGTCAGAGAGAACTATTGGCAATTTGTGAAAGACAGGATGTTACAGGTGAGCATGGCAAGAGAGGTCTGGTTGTCTATTTCATGGCTCCATAAACCAATAAGATTGAAGGCTATAAAAATTATGCTTTGCCTGAGTAATAACTATATTATAATGAGTAATTTATGTTAAATTTTGTACTCCTCGGAAGGGTCATAAATAAATTAGAGAAAAGGGAAGACCTAGAGGGCAAATGTTAACAATTCTCATGCTAGGGGAGATTGAGGAATTTTTAAAAAAGATTTCATTATAAAATAAAGAATTAAAAAATTATGTAATATTAAAATTTGATTTATCAACTATGCTTTAATGCCAAGTTTATTCCTATACAACTAAAATAAAGTAGTTTAATTATATTTTGAATGTAACTTTTTAAAAAGTCATGACATGCACACACTTTGACCTACTTGTAACAAGATATTTAATTGATAAGAACTTAATACATATATGGATGACAAACTGAATATGATACTTTTAATATAAATTTACCATAGTATAATTCTAAGTGCCAAGTAACTGTCAAACATGAATTTTTTAGCACATTTGTAACACAAAAAACTCACCAAGAATTTCTGTGACCTGAAAATCTAACTGATGGGAAGCAGTACTGAGATCTAATGTTTTCAGTCCTGGACCACAGCGTCTCAAAAGTGACTTCAGGATCTGAGTTGTCAGAGCTGTTGCAGAAAAAGGGTAAGTTATCCCAAAACAGAAAGAGAATGTGATACTGAACTAATGATTGCTTAGAAAGCCTAGCATGAGTTAACTCATCAAGTTATCTACTAGATGCAGACTCTGATTTAGAAAACATCAGCTTTAAGCAGGTTTCATCTAGGTATTTTGTTATGTATTCATTAAGCTGCAGTCATGTATGATTCACTTCAATGTCTATACTGGAAATTCTAAAACTCATCCAGGATTGTCAGCTTACAGAATACCAGCTTCAACAATCCCACACATTTTCCAAACAAACTTCTTTATTTGTCCTTTAGTGACACCATTATAAATTATGAATTAAAGGTACTACAAAGAACGAATTAACCACCATAACCCCTAATAATAAACAGAAAGTGAGTCCATTCTCTTTCTACAGTGTTTATGAAAATAAAATACACAATAATTTAAAAACTTTATAGGGTGAGATTACTAGGTGATGCTAAACTAGTGGTTCATAGCACCTTTAACTTTCTTGCTATAGGCTCAGTCAATCCAGCTGAGTTTGTGACCTCAAATTGACCTTCAGAGTTTCCATACTATAACTTCTATGTGTTGTGTATCTTTAAAAAATTTTGCAACTTTCAGTAAACATTATAAGTCTTTTGTAGACAAAATATTAGTTTTTAATGAAGTATTTTGATTAAAAATTTTTCCATGGTTACATGGAGTTAAAATGTTAACTGCTCTGAGTGCGAAATACTTTTCTTCATCTGAAAATTGTCAAATTTAATTTGCATAATCTCTAAAACCTCCTACAGAAATTTCTCAAACTTTTTTTTAGTAAAATTTTATATTTTCTGTACTCTAACTCTATACAGGGTTGATCAATTTGACCAATCTCTAACCACTATGAAAAAATTATATAATTAATTACCCTTCTTTCTTTCTAGAATAACTTCAAATTTTAACAGCAAACTACAGTTGCTTATTCTAAATAGCTTAAAGCTTGTAACGATACACATCTGTTTCTACTTAAATTTTATTGCTTTATTGCATTTTTTAACTGCTAATAATCCAGCCACACAGAAATGAAAGATAATTTGAAGCCCTACTATAGGCCCTGGAATAGTATTTAGCATGACATTCCAAGTTGACCAAAACTTATTTAGCATAAAGTTTCTGTTGGACTGCTTTTCAAAAAACAAACACAACTTTCATGTTACTAAATATTTTAGTACATCTATGAATATGTTGATAATGCTGCACTTTCAGTTATGAAATAGTCTGCTGATCATGTTTACCAAATATGTTATTTTTACTGTAAGCTTATACAAATATCAGAAAAATAATAGCTTTTATGATAAAAATACATAGGCCCTACCTGAGAGAACAGTTACATGGTAAAAAAACTGAGTGGAACTGTAAATGTATATGCAATTAGAGAGATTACATAACTTACGTGATCCTCTGAAGACTGAAAACACATTATGAAAATGAAGTGTTTCTTGGGTGTGCCACACTCTGGACAGCAGTGTTTTCCATTTCTTACATACTGAAATTGTGTAACATAATTTGGATTATACAGAAATACTGCATTTTAACTTTGAAATATTCCAAGTTAAAACATCACTGCAAAATCATATCTGTTGTTTTTTTAATGGCTATATATATATCTAAATAGATAAAATTCTAAATATTCTACAGTAAAATTTAGAACTCACACAACTCAGACACTTAAACAGCAGGGATAATAACTACACTTACAATCATACTATACAGAAACTGTACATATACCATAATGTTCAGTTCACCACCAGGAAAACATCTGCACATAAAGGAAATTTAATTAAGAAAAACGTGATATGAATAAATGAGAACAATATATGTGCATATTTCTTGTTACTTTCATTAAAACAATGTACTTATTTTGTTTGTTTGTTGGATTTCTCACAAAGCTATTGAGGGCTATCTGCACTAGCTGTCCAGAATTTTGATGTGATAGACTAATAGGAATGTAAATTCGATGACGAGGAACCCACTTTGAGACTAATAATGCTTGACTGTACCTGATGATGACAGAACCTTGTCAGATCATTGTACATTTGCTGTTATATTAAATTTATATTAAAGTTCTTCTCATTACCCATTCAAGCCATCTCCAAGCATTAATAGGAATGTAGCTAGTTAATTCAACACCACTCACCACTAACTCTTCAGTTACTCTTGTCACACCAAATAGTGGGATTTCATCATCACTCTTATAATGCACCCACAACCCCACAGAGTGAAGCTTGATTTTTTTTTTTGTGGCAAAGGGATACAAACCACAATACAACACTCGAACCACTGGGCTACCTTGACTCTATCGCACGTTATACAATGAAATAGAAAAATATTTTGGTCTATTCATTTGACAATACGATACTTTCTTTCTTTTTTGTGATATATTTCCTTACCTCGAATTTGAACATTAGACAAGTGCTCTATCAACTCAGCTAAATGGCTAGTCCCCTAGTTCTTACTAGTACAATTCAAACTACTACATTTTCCCCTCTCACAAACAAGGCCTACAGTTGGGTGCCAACATAGTATTTTTTGAACCCAAGACTTCTTAACATGCTAGGTGAGAGTGAGCTAAAAAAGTCCTTTTTAATAGTGCTTTCTAGTATCCTAGTAAAACACTTTTTTAACAACACAAACTACTACACCCTTTACTATTTTCCTTGGTATTTATTTCAATCAAAAAAAGTATGCTAATTGATGAATTTACTATGTTCACCTCTTTCAAATCTTATTCTGTCCTTAATCTCCAAGTAAGAGAAGATCATTAAGAGGATATCTTCATTAAGATCATTGATGTTCTCACACAAGACAGGTACAGTTTTAGGGGAAGATTCTTCTGCAGACAGGCAGTCTTCATGTTCTTCTGAACTCTATGTAATTTAGATGTATTAAAACAATTAGAAAACTGAGTACAATATGGATTTACTGCTCAATCTGCATGATGCCACATATTCTAAACTTAACCCTTAAAATCAAAACTTTTTTTCACTCTAGTAAAAATGATATTAAAACTGTATATACACATATAATCAAAATTCTCAATCACACAGTTTGTTTTGAAATGATAATCTAGTTACTCATGCAAAAACTTTTATCTTCAGTGTTAAAATTTTATTAAAATATCATCATGGTTTTTAAATGAAAATGTCATGAAATCAGCAGCATTATTAACTGGATGTGTTTTACTCAACAAGAAATGAAAAGCATAGGATAATGAATGATGTTAATTCTGGCAAAAAGAAAGCTAAGCCCTGTGTTTTGAACTTACAACTAATTTCAACATCCTCTTATTAATTGCCAGCAATGTCTACAATAAAGTTTCATATTTTCATCTTATAAAACAATACCCGAAAGCCATTAGTGTTCAACATTCATGCAAATTTTTATCCCTTTACACTCAGAACTTTAGAATAAACCTATTCGAAGTAAAATTTTGCAAACAGTTTTCTTTCTTATCTAGATGAGAAATTTTTACCTACTATATTTGCTGGAGATTAATGCAACCTCACCTTTAACCATAAGCTCACAAATTATTAATTTTAAAAGACTATATTTTTGTCTTTGAATTTTATGATTTGATAGATTTTTTATTACATTGACTATGTTTCTTTAAAGTTTATTAGGTATTAGTGTTTTTCTGTCATGAGAATAAGACCCCAATTCACCACTCTTCTAATCATTACAATTAATGACAAAGGTTTTTGTTGTCATTTATATTTGTTTCTTTTTCACATTTTTAATGCACAATAAAATATTATATAACAAGCTGTCTTATACATTTACATTTCAATGTATATTAGTATTTTATCTAACAAAGCTTTAGTTGGCATCCTTTCACACATTTATGATGAAATCCTATTTGAGGAGTCATGTGTAATGTTTTTCTTCTTATTTACAGTAGGACATTGAGCATCTATAAAGGATGCAGACAAGAATGATCATGATGGTGATGGGTTTAAAATATCTGAGCTGTGAGAAAAAGACTTAAACATGTGCACTTGTCTTACATACAGCTTAAAAGAGCAAGAAATAGAGATACTAAGAATTTTTAAGAGAGCATACAGACTGCTTGTTAGAATTTGATTATTTAGTATTGAAATTAATAAGTTTAGTGTCCCAAGTTGGATTTCTTATTAAACAGAATTATTTCTTAAGAATTAATAACTTGCAGAGTATTTCTTCTAATAATGCATTGTGTTGATAATTTTGACACTTCTGAGTTTTTGTTGGTTTATACAGAAGTAATGTGTTTCTACTGAGTGAGCTGGTGTGTTTTAGTTTTCATTAAATACTTAAAAAAGTGGCCTTGATGGACCAAAAAGCCTTCTGTTGCATCACCAGTTCTAACTTTTTAAATATTTTATTTCATTTTATGAATCACTGTTTATGCACATTTTCTATAAACTTTAACTCTATGTACATGGATTGGGATCAAAGTGCACATGTCACGACCTTTTACTGAGTGGCATTCAATGTAGTATCTTGTCCTGGTGTCAATTATCAACAAAACATTTTACTCTACATTGCTGATTTAGAAGTAGCTCATGGAAAGGAAGAGTAAACACCAGATACAATATAAAGAGATGTTGAAAAACTGTAAATATGCATTTCAGGGGTTTCAATATTTATGCAAATGCAAAAAATATGCAAACTGTGTGATGGACAAAAGTATTTCTATTCTTCACATGATCACCTTGCCCCCGACTTGTCAGAGTCTAAACAAGACATTGTCAGTTCACAGATATACCTTGAGTACTTTGGTAACACATCTTACTGTACATTTTACTAAATGCTTGCCACATTTCACGTAGATACAGATAGTAAATTCAATATTATTGCCAACATTCCTTCTTCAGTAATGGGTTGGTCTAGTGGACTAACTCTGTACATATCCAGTTAAGCTTTAAAAGACTTCATTAATAGAATCAGGAAAGGAAAAGAATAAAAATCATGTAATGACAACTTCAATATAACTGGAAATATTTCATTTTCAAAATTACATGGAATATTTTATAACTTTATTTGAAATACTGAATCCTCACAACTCAATACACAACTAATTTTATTCTGTTTTCTTGATTCTTTAGTGTCCAACGAACTCATGTAACAGTTTAAGAACATGCATTACTTCTCGTGACAGATTTTTTCTCGCTTCCTGGTATAATTTTGCAGTCCTTTTTTCTTCAGCAGGAAATACACGAAGGTCTCTGAAACCAAAATTATGAGCATGAAAAATAAAATATAACTGAATACAGGAACTGAATATTTCATATAAACTTACTTTTTTTTGGAACTGATTTTTAATCTATTAGTTTTTGAAAGAGCTTCAAACTAACTATAAAACCTATAACAATGATACATGGACCAGGATTAACCATTTTGCAACGGGTTTGGTATAAAATACACGAGTTAGTATATACATTTGCCCACGTTAAGTATTTATACCATAACTTTTAATGTAGTATATGTATCTTCAAAAAATTTGGTAGACTTTTAGTAAACATAACAAGTCTGTTGTGCATAAAAAATCAGATTTTTTAATGAGGTATTTTTACTAAATACTTGCTTGTGAAGATATCGAGTCTGTTTCATTCCTAGTCCGAGTGAAAGTGATTTTCATGTTATGATTAAAAAACTATTCTTCATCCCAAAAATCTCAAATATCATTTGTGTAATCTCTAAACCCTCCTAATTACAATTCAAGCATTTGTTTTCAGTAAAATTTTATATTTTTATCTGTTATTTTCTCTACCCTAATTTGACTGAACTTGTAACCACCATAAAAAATTAGGAAATAAATATAAATTATGCTTTTTTCATTCTAGAATGA